TAGGGGATAGGGGATCAACAGCATCACTCGCCAGGGGGCAGTCGCGAGGGGAACAGCAGGAGAGGAGCGCCAGGGAGATTGGGAGAGAGGGGAGATGGAGCCGGAGCACTACGCAGTCCAGGGGACAAGGACGGGGCGCAGTGGCGACCCGAAGCGGCGATGCGTGGAAGGGCGAGGCAGCAGACAGGAGGAGGCCTTGGGCAGGACAGACGCATTAATGAGATAGAAGCGGCGAAGCGCGCCGAGATAATGACGGGAAACCGCGCGGAAATGGCCGAGGGACCAGCTTGAGGGCAACGACGCCCACAGAGGAAGGGCGAGGGCAGTGCAGGCGCAGTCGCCCCAGGACCAGGTGATTGACGGGGAGGCGCACCAATTCGCACATACACACACACACACACACACACACTTTTTGAGTCAGCGGCGCAGAGGGTCCTCAAGCGCAAACAGCAGATGGAAATGTGAATTGTTTGCAACCGAACCTTGTCGATAACGCAGCGCACAAGCGTCGCACACTGTAAAATGCAAGCGATGGGCGCGTTAGAGGAACTGTCAGTCCAACCACAACATGCAGCGGCCAGAAGATGAGGAAAACGTTCCACTCGACGCGAATTGAAGCGCGACAGCCCGAGGCTACTTGCGGCCACTGAATCACCAGAGCGGCCACACACACACACAGACACGTTTGTTACGTCGCTGCCACGCGCGCGGCAGAGTGGCCGAGGGCATGGCAAGCGAGAGAGCGCGGACCCGGCCAACTCACACCCACCCACACACACACACACACACATTCACACACAGACACATTCACACACACACACACACACATTCACATTCACATTCACATTCACATTCACATTCACATTCACATTCACACACACACACACACTTTTTTGGTCGGCGGGTCGGGAGCGGGCCCCTTCGGTCAAGAGCTAGGCGGGGCGCGCGAAGCCCTAATTGGGGAGACAGGGCGCGGGCGGGCGGGGCCTCAGGCGGCCGGAGGGTGCAGAGTACAGGCGGTGCCGAAGATCTTGCACAGGACAAGGTACGCCATGGGCCATGGACAGGAGCCGGGGGCGAGGTCCCGGAGGGAGAGTGAGTGGCGTTGCCGTCATCGGCGCGCCGAGAACACCATCCTCGAGTGCTGCGTGGGGAGGGCCGTGATCATGTCAACGTCCGTGAGGTAGAGGAAGACCAGGTAGTCGAAGTGCACCAGGTGCCACCGACTGGTATGGAGAGGCCCAGGAGATGAGGATTACCACGAAGTCGATGTGCAACGTTGTGCCACCGGGTGGTCAGTAGCGGCCTGGGGTGGTAGTCCAATCCACGTCCAGGTAGCAGCCACGAGGTTCGGCATGAAAGCCGACTGCGTCCGCCTGCCGTGGGCCGGGCCTGAGCCGCGCTGCCCAGAGTGAGCGGGGCCGCCGAGGCTGCAAGGTGCAGTGCCAGCACCGGGCTGGAGCCGCGCTATGCCGGGCGCTGCCGCCATGGGAGGGGGGGAAAGCGAGCGGGGAGGGAAAAAGCGGACAGGGAGGAGAGAGGCCAGCGTCCCACGCCAGCCGGAGTCCCGCCAACGTGCACCGAGGTGCCCGCGTGGGGACACGCCCCAATGCGCACGGGTAAGACCCGAGGCCCCAGCGCGGGCGTGTCACGCACGTCGCTGTCGTACCAATGCGTCGCAGGTAAGAACAGGGGGGGACACAGAGTCCCAGATCCTTGAATCAAGCCCAGCCGATGGGTAGTCCCAGATTCTCGAATCACGCTCAGCCGATGGGTACAGGTAGGACACAGAGTCCCAGATCCTTTGGAAACAGCCGATGGGCACAGGGGGGGACACAGAGTCCCAGTTCAGGGAATCTCAATCAGCCGATGCATACAGGTAGGACACAGAGTCCCAGATCCTTGGAAACGGAAGAGAGGATGATGAGGAGCGGACGGGGCCCAGGTGACCAGGTGAATGCCAGCGCATGGACAGCGGGCGCCGCAAGGGCAAGGGGTAGCAGGTAAAGGGGGGGAAGAGGGACACGTGGCCCCCAGTCGGCAGAGAGGTGGGGGTGTGGTTCGGGGACGGGGACGCAGGTAGTGGGAGTGGCTGGCGGGTTGGGCCGTGGTGCTGCGGGCCGGGTATGGTAGGGCCGACTACAGTCAGCGCCGCAGGCGCTTCCCAGTCCAGGTGTCGCGGTACCCGGAACTGCGGGCCTGGTCCCCTTCGCGCCCGTCACCCTTAGCGACTTCCCTTTTCCTTTGCACCTCCTGATAGAGCTTTTGCTCCCGCTCCCCGTCCACTTAGACACCTGCGCTGTCGGACCATCGGTCCACGCGGTAGTTGTTGGCCTTCATGTCATCCAGGAATTTTTCGATGATCCACTGCTGCCAGCGGCGTGGGTCGAAGGGCGCCTGGTCTCTGGACTTGCCTTTGCCCTGCTCCTTGTAGTTGCGCCTGCACCACGAATGCCAGGCTACGTTAAATTGGCACCACCCTCCGTCTGCAACCTCTTCAGGTGTGTTACTGCTGTCTCGTTTGGGAGGCGCTGCCATCCAGCGCGGAACGCGGCGTGTGTCCGGCTCGTGTCGGCGTGGCTGCGGTCGTCCTTGTAGTGAGAGCTGCGCGATTCTGGCTGGCGCCAGGGTGCGCTACCCGAGCCCCAGCCAGTGTCATGGGTCCGGTCCCAGTAGCGCTCCTTTGTTCTGTCCCAGTCCTTGGCGTCGTGTCTGCGCCACGGTGCCCCCGCCGCGCTCAGGTTGCGGTCGCGGTCGCGGTCGCGGTCTCGCTCTCCTGCGCGCGGCCGGTCGTCCTCTCTGGACTCGCGCCTCAGCGCCGTGGTGTACAGCTCCCAGGCGACTGGCTCCCGCACCCTGCCGCGCGGGCGCTCTGGGGGGTGCGCCGAGAGAGGGATGAGCGCCGGGCGCGGGTCCTCGGGGCCCTTGGAGCGGTCCCGCCTGTGCAGGTTCCGACCGTCGGCCACGGCCTCGGGACGCAGGATTGGCTCGGCGGGTGCGCGGGCAGCCCTCTGGTCGGCACTGCGGGGGTCAAGCTCGGGGCTGGCGCGCCGCTCACTCTGAGGATTCGTCTTAGCTTGGTGCTTTTCAACGGTCCCCGAGCCAGAGGACGAGGAGATGGGGTGGACCTCGCTCAGGGCCCCGGCGAGGCGCAGCTTCTCCTCTTTAGCCTGGTCTTCGCTGCCCCATTCAGGGTCCTCCTCCTTAGGCGGCATGAGGATGCAGGTTCGTAAGTGGGGTCCTGTGAGCTGGATTGCTCCGGGTAGGGCTCAGGTCGGGGCCTGTCCTGCATGCATTCTGCGGACGCTGCTTTGTCTCCCGTGGTGCTGACGCCACTCGAGGGGTTGTCGAATACTGCTGCTGCTTGCTTTCTGTGCACCTTCCCTTGGGCACTCTCCAGAAAGGTAGCTGCGCGGAGCGCTGCGTCTCCACGGAGGACGCATACGCGAAGCGTCCTGTCGCCGACGCCTCGCACTTCCAGCCACTCCGCCGATCTGGACGAGCAGCGCGCGCGGCGGGCGGCACATTAAAGTATGACGCAGTTATCGAGGTAGCACGCGCTTGCCCGAATTAACGGACCAGTCGGGTCAGGCGAGCGCCGGGTCGGGCGCTGAAGTATGACGCAGTTATCGAGGTAGCACGCGTTTGGCCTTCGCGCGAGCGCCGGGTCGGGCGAGTGGGGCACTAAAGTATGGCGCAGTTTTCGAGGTAGCACGCGGTTGCCCTAACGCACCGGTCGGGTCGGGCGAGCGGGCCTTGACGGGCAGGCTGGCGGGGGGTCGGGCGGGTGGGACACTAAAGTATGACGTAAATTCGATGTACGCGCTGTAGACCGTTTGAGGAGGAGCAGCAGCAGAAGCAAGATGAGGAGGTGGAGGAGGAGGAGGAGGAGGAGGAGGAGGAGGAGGGGGAGGAGCCAGAGCAGGAGGAGGAGGAGGAGGAGGAGGAGGAGAAGGTAGAGGAGGACGAGGAGGAGGTGGAGGAGGCGGAGGAAGAGGAGGTCCAGGATGCACCGGAGGAGGAGGAGGAGGAGGAGGAGGAGGAGGAGGAGGAGGAGGCCGTCGCCTGGAACAGGAGCCCGCCCCAAAACGGGCACCCGAGGCATTTGGTGACTGTTTTGAGCGGGCCTGGATGTTGATGTGAATCGGCAGCAGCAGGAGGAGCAGCAGCTGCAGCAGCTGCAGCAGCCTACCAGAGCCGAGCTCGGCCAGGGGACGGCGGAGGAGGAGGGGAGAGGATGAGGCACAGGGAGGAGGGGAGGGCGGAGGAGGAGGAGGAGGAGGAGGAGGAGGAGCAGGAGGGGAGGGCGGAGGAGGAGGATGACGGAGGAGCAGGAGGAGGAGGAGGAGGAGTAGGAGGAGTAGGAGGAGGAGGGGGGAGGAGGAGTGGGATTGAAGGAGGCTTCCGCTCGAGACGCCCTCACGGCTTGCCTGGGAAAGAGGGCCCCCTTGAGGAAATCCGATCCTTGGAGCAGGGACCAGGCCCCCCTCGAGACATCGTCACAGCTTGCTGAGGGACGAGGCATCCGCTCGAGGCATCTTCGCAACATGCCCCGAGATGACATGTTCACCGGTCCGAGCGAAAGTTCAATCTTAAATTTCCCCAACCCCAGAATTGAAACAGCAACCCTATATTGAAGGTCTGGTCCAATATTGAAGTTCCGAACCCCAATATTGGACCAAAACCTCAATATAGAACCTCGCTATGGTCCAGTTTAATATTTCAATCTGGAGTTTGGCAACTCTACTGCTGGTTTTTGCAATCTAGAGTTTGGGAATTCCAATATTGAAGGTGGGGATTGACCTTCCAATTCCGGGGTCGGACCCTCAATATTGGGGGCAGGGTGCCCCTTGTGCTAACCATGCATCGTTACCCGATATATCTGTCGTCATACATGCTTAGGGCCCACTGGAAGATGTGGAGACTTGCGTGAATAGACGTCTGTGACGTTTCGTTGTTGCCTCGTCTTATCCGTTTTCCCCCATCCTATTGTGAGACAGGCGATCAGACCCAGTTTCATCGGGCAGTTGGAGCAGTCCAAGGTCGACCTCAACATCAAGGAGCGACGTCTCGTTTCCAGGTTGTTTTGGGGACAACGTTTTGGAAGGAAGCTCGGCTGCGCTTACAAAGTGTAGGCTTGTATTTCAGAGCGTCTGCACTGCTATGCAGCAGAGGGTTGCACATGCGCACTAGGAAGGTCGCCAGTTGCTCAGGGACGGAGGATATCGTTCTGGAGAATGTTCCAACAGAGCCGTCCTGCTGTCCTCAACTGCTTCTCCACACATCTGTGGGGTAGCATGTGAATAACTTGTTCACTTTGGCATGCAGCGGTCAAGCTACTTGGTCGGCGGGCATACTCATGGATGCGCGGCATGGCCCGACAACAGCATTTGGCAATATTTGGCTTGGCGCCGGAATGAGGTCCTAATGGGTTGCCCCATGCGGTCGTACATACCATCCAGAGCCCATCGTTGCCATGTGAGATGTAAACCATCATGTGATGTTGTCACGTGTTCCTGAATTGCGCACGACAGTTCCGTATTTCCCTACGCTTGCCCCGCACCCATCTTGGCGGTACCACCGTTGAGAAGCGCATCAAGTATGCGTTATTGCCTTCTGCGCATGTTCAAGAGGCTCTCGTCGATCATCAGAGGATGTGGGGGTCCTCCTGACGTGTAGGCGCGATAGTTGTCAACCGTGGGTATTCAGATGTGAACAGATGACAAATTACTTTCGGCGTCCGCTTTGGCGTTGGGGTAGCTTGAGCTCTACCATTAGTTGCGGCGATGGTACACGCTTTGATTATGGATCTGTCCTCTGTAACTGGCGCGTCGCGTAGTTACTAACACCAGCCCGTTCAGAAACGGTTCTTGGATGAGCTGCCGCGAGAAGGGAAGTGCACCAGTGAAACCAAAGGAAAGATCTACCCCAGCAGCCCCCCCGACGAGAAAACAGCTTGGAGCCCTTTCTGGGCCTCTTGGAACCGTCCTCCCTCCGAAAATTGGAATGAAACTTTGTAGCCTTGTGGGAGCTTGTGGAGGATTACTAGGAGCATCGTGGCGCTCTCTTGGGGCTGGCTCTACTGAGCGCCCCCTCTTGGGACCCGTTCGGGGCTCTGTTGGGTTGTTTTTGGGTGCACGGCCATCTCGGCCATACGAGGGACCCCAAACGCCCTCAATCATAAAAGCAATTTGGACCATGAAACGCGTCCGACGCCCCGCCCAAGTTGAATAGGCGGGAAGGCAAACATGGATCGAGGCTAGTGCGTCTCAGTATGTTGACGTATCTCGGGAACTCTTATGGGTGGCTTCGATGCGCACACCTCGCAGCCATCTCGAGGCCTTCTCGGCCCTCTTCGAGCATGCTGGAAGCCAGCATGGGGCACACAGTGGAGTCATCTGAGGCCACTCTGAAACCTTGGGAAGGGGGGGATAAGCCCCTCCTCGAGGTGGGATGAGGTTTTGTCGTCAACGAGCTGGCACGCGAAACCACATGCACCCCCCTCCCCTCCCCAGCAGCCCCCCACGAGAAAACAGCTTGGAGCCCTTTCTGGGCCCCTTGGAACCGTCCTCCCTCCGAAAATTGGAATGAAACTTTGTAGTCTTGTGGGAGCTTGTGGAGGATTACTAGGAGCATCGTGGCGCTCTCTTGGAGCTGGCTCTACTGAGCGCCCCCTCTTGGGACCCGTTCAGGGCTCTGTTGGGTTGTTCTTGGGTGCACGGCCATCTCGGCCATACGAGGGATCCCAAACGCCCTCAAGCATAAAAGCAATTTGGGCCATGAAACGCGTCTGACGCCCCGCCCAAGTTGAGTAGGCGGGAAGGCAAACATGGATCGAGGCTAGTGCGTCTCAGTACGTTAACGTATCTGGGGAACCCTTATTGGGGACTTGGGTGCGCACACCTCGCAGTTATCTCGAGGCCTTCTTTGCCCTCTTCGAGCATGCTGAAAGCCAGCATGGGGCACACAGTGGAGCCATCTGAGGCCAGTCTGGAACCTTGGGAAGGGGGGATAAGCCCCTCCCCGAGGGTGAATGAGGTTTTGTCGTCAACGAGCTGGCACGCGAAACCACATGCACCTCCCCAGCAGCCCCCCGACGAGAAAACAGCTTGGAGCCCATCCTGGGCCTCTTGGAACCGTCCTCCCTCCGAAAATCGGAATGAAACTTTGTAGCCTTGTGGGAGCTTGTGGAGGATTACTAGGAGCATCGTGGCGCTCTCTTGGGGCTGGCTCTACTGAGCGCCCCCTCTTGGGACCCGTTCGGGGCTCTGTTGGGTTGTTTTTGGGTGCACGGCCATCTCGGCCATACGAGGGATCCCAAACGCCCTCAATCATAAAAGCAAATTGGTGCCAGAGAACGCGTCCGACGCCCCGCCCAAGTTGAATAGGCGGGAAGGCAAACATAGATCGAGGCTAGTGCGTCTCAGTATGTTGACGTATCTCGGGAACTCTTATGGGGGACTTGGGTGCGCACACCTCGCAGCCATCGCGAGGCCTTCTCGGCCCTCTTCGAGCATGCTGGAAGCCAGCATGGGGCACACAGTGGAGCCATCTGAAGCCACTCAGGAACCATGGGAAGGGGGGATAATCCCCTCCTCGAGGTGGGATGAGGTTTTGTCGTCAACGAGCTGGCACGCGAAACCACATGCACCCTGACTGCGTGTGGGATGCGACGTTCAGCTTATCCTTAGCTTTCACTCAGCCTGAGCTTTCACCTTGTAGCTTTGGATTCAGCTTCGGGGCTACAGCAATGCAACAAAATCCGTCTTGGAGCCCTCAATGGGCGGTCTTGGGCCGCCCCGGTGGCTCTCGGACCTTCTTGGGGCAGGGTGATCGGAAGCCGAAGAGCTGCAGAAGCTAAAGAGCAGCTAAGGTTCTGCGGCGTCCTCCCCCCCGCCCACCCTCAGGAAGTTGCATTGCCGGGGGTGTCGCCCAGGACCGGAGGGGATCGAGCAGCAGAAGCCATTCACTTCGCCACAAGTAGAAATACGCGCGCGGAGAGGGGGGATGCCGAACATGCGTCTGGCACGCGTGCAGCTGGCATGTGTCTTCACGCGCGTGGGCGCCTACCAGTACGATCGAAATGGGGACAGAAAGAGCGGGAACGAAAACCGACAGCAGTTCTTGCTAATGCTGAATCATACTCGCTGTCAGTGTCGCCACGGAAGCTGTCCAGTTGGGGGGCCACAGTCGCCTGCCCGACAGCGGCCGCTGTGGGTGTTGGACCATGTTTGCTGTTGAGCCTCATCCCGACGTCAGCCGTGCCAAGCCTAGGCGGGGGGTGGTCCAACGTGCGCCTGCCACGTGTTCTGACACGCAGGTGGGAGGCCCGGAGGATATCCTACATGCGTGTGGCGCGCGGGCTGGGCAACTTGCCCTGACCATGGTCTGCCGCTGCCCCATCTTTCTTCGCGACCGGGGCATCCAAGAGTATGCTGGATTCGGCTCGTGCCCGGTCCCTTTGCAACTGGGCGTATTCTTTTGAGCCTCAGTGGCTTATGGTCAGGAATTGGGGCTTGGCGTGTTGCGCCGCCTCTTTTGGCCCGCCACGCTTGGGCGCGACACGCTAACAACGCCCCAATGCCCCGGCATCAACGTCCCGAGCTTCCCCCGTCCTCCCGCCCCGCGGAGCGGAGCGACACGCCATCAGCGTGCAGGGAATAGCGTGCTGCCAGGGCCGCCGCCGCGACACGCTGAGCACAAGTTCCTGACCGTAATCGCCTCCAGCTGTGTCGGCCGATGCACGCCGTGGGTTTGCCGCGACGTTGGCTGTGTCTCCTTTGGCGCCGGACGCAAGGTTTGCCATGGGTTTGAAGTGGTGTCTGCGCCGTCCACTTGGGCGCGTCGAGAACAAACGGCGCGGCGACACACACGGGCGCTGACCGATATTTCGACGAACTGAAACCACATAGGAGATGACGTGGTCGGCCTCTTGGGGAAGCGCACCGATTTGGGCCAGATTTGGGGCCCCGTAGGGGCCCCAGACCCGCGTGTTCCCCGCCCTCTCGCCCCGCGGCGAAAGCGCCAGGGCTCGGCCTCAACGGTGCATCTCGCCATCTCGTGGGCCGTGTTCGGTTTGATTTCGTGTTGCAGCAGAAGGCGGAACGAAGGCAGAAAGAGGGAAAACGAAAACGAGACAGAAACGAAGAACACTGTTCAGGTCTATCCCTGAAAAGCGCCGACGTCGAGAATGCAGGCCCGCGCGCTAACATGCACCTCGTGGGCGAAGAACGGATCCGTATCCGCGGCCTCGCGGGCCGGACCTTTTTGCCGTGACCCCTCCGATACGGGGCGCTTGTTTCGCGGATGCCCCGCTCGGAACGTCACCGTGCGACCGCGTATCCGCGGGATCGCGCCCCGGAATCCAGACCGCAGGGTCGCGGATATGGATACGTCCGCCGCTCGTGGCTTGGGCCAGGGCCACTTCTGGCAGCACCAGAGGAGTCCATCCTAAAACGACGCGGAGATCGGGACAAAATCGGATCGGGATAACTCGAAATCTCTGATAATCGGCGGGTTTGGAGAATGTATTGGGCGCCGCGGCCGCTCCAGAGCGTTCCGGAACGCTCTGAGAGCGCTCCGGAACGCTCTGGAGCGATTTATCCCGATCCTAGCTCTGTTTTACATCCAGAAGCGCACACAGGTAGGACATTGGAGCAGGTCTCCCTGGGGAAGGGGGGGCGCTGCCGCAGGCCCACGTCTCCAGAGGGAACAGGGGGAGGGCGCTGTGCGCCCCCTTTGTCGGAGCGTATCGTTACGGGGCTCGCCCGCGCGTGTAGAGATGTGTCCCGCCCGGTCTCGCCCTCCTGCCGTCCTCATACGAACGCGGGCCGAAGGAGTTTCCTCTTGAGCCCCAGATGCCGAATGCGAGCCGTCAAGTTGGCGGGGACGATGCGGCGTTCGAGCATCCATAACATGTCATGGGAGGGGCGGCGGGAGTGGGTCGGGCTCGCTGCGGCGTTCGAGCTGCCATGTGTCATGGCAGGGGCTTCGGAGGTTGACAAGGCCAGCCGTGATGCTCCAGTTGGCGACCTTGACGCCGTGTGTGTGTCCTCCTGTT